GGGGGTCACCTCAATGCGGGGATTGCTACTTTTATTAAGAATGCTTTTTCAAACCTCCAATAAAATTCAATAAAAAGTAAAAACACACAACAAAAGGGAAGCAATTTGGTAGCTAACGTACGTATATATGTATACTAATTTGACCACCCCCCCCCTCCCATGGGGTTCTCAAGGCCAATAATAACAAATTGGAAACAAACAATGTGAATGAACATAATGTTTTTAAAAATCCCAACTGGCAGGCAGTAGACTGGTTGCCATGATATAAAGTGCAGCAAAGGAGCTGAACTACACTGTAGGGCAGAAGCTTGAACCCAGGGCCACTAGATTACAAGTCCTTCACCCTAACCACTCGGCCACAATGCCACCACCACAGTGAGAGGAGTACTGAACACAACTATTCTTGATTGCGCCACAAGACAATTTGACGACCAGGGCAATTCAACACCCTCAATAGCAGTCCTTCATTGAAGACTGCAACTAATTGAAATAATTACAATACCAAATCAATCACCTGTTGAGTGTTGATATCAACTCCTGAGAGCCAACAGCCAAAGCCTGGATGAGAGTGGTACCAGCCAACCACCATTTCTGGCCTGAAAAAATACAATGACAATTAACAAATTTACATGAAAAATGCCAGCCGTGAGGTTAATTTTTAGCCAGTGCCAAGCTCTCAGGAATGGCAGACAGTCAAATAAGCATTTGAGCAATAATTGGTGGGGTTCTCTGTAGGAGTGATGTCTCTATCCTCAGTCCCCCTCCATTTTAATCTCTAAGAGAAACTTTTTTTGCTCATAATGAAATGAAATGAATGATGTTTTGACCTGCAGCTTATATACAAAGCTAAAAAAATGATCAATGCAGGTAGGTTGCAATTGCTTTAACAGCAAATTACCCACACCTAGAGCAAACTTGCCGATAAGTTGCAAACTTCAACCTCTTAAAGTAATCTGCATACTTTTAACTTTACAAGCATCCCTGTCTGGGGATACAGACCTTTACAAATAAAATCCCACCTAAAGTAGATATTCATTGCTCTTATAGATGAACAGGCTATTGTCTACTGTTCTAAAGGATCTACCAGACAGTATACCTGCCAGTTTGCTTCAACATGTCCAACATCTTAGCTTGAAAAACAGGATCCACAGCCTCCACACTCACACCCTGTCAATAAATAACAAATAAATACCTCAAATTATAGAAAAATAATTAAGCACTGCAAGGCCTTTTACAGGTTAGTGCGCAGTGATACTGGGTAGACATTTGCTAAATATCAGGCAAAAAGTTCAAAACAAAGGGCCTAGAGATTAAATTTTCTCCTAACAATTTTTAATGTGAACTTACTGTTCCACTTTGCGGCATGGCAAACACATCAATCACTCGCACAGTGTAGTCATCCACAAATTCTCCCAACATTAGACCCATGACTTCCATTGGAACACCTGCTCTGCCTGAAAAAGTAAGAGTTAATTTTAAAAAAATTAATGGTAGATGGATGAATGTCTCTCTACAGGTTTTAATTCAAATTCAAATGATGATACAGTAAATTATTAGCCTAGAAACTTTATGTTCCATTGTCAAGAACCTCTCCATCAAGTATTTTTTTAAAGCAGACTGAAGAAATGGAGGAAATGGGCTAATTCTTGTTTCATCCACTCCTTTTAATAGAGGTCCCAGCTGGTATGTTGTTGTTATCAACTAGCAGAAGGCAAAAGCCCAATAGAAACATTCCACTTATATAAAAATTAGAATAGAAATGGAAATTATCTCATTAACAAAAGCAGACTGAAAAGCCCAAAGCATCAACTGTTGTCATGAACTCTTTACATCATTAACTGAACTGTACAATGTGTGACAGCCCAACAAAATTTAGATTGAAACTTATCAATTCACAAGTTTTACTTGCTCCAAGTAATATGTTAACCCTTTACACCCCAACATCAGTATGCATATTCTCCATACTGTCCATAATATAATCTTTTAAGGATGTTGACAAGGAGACTTTGTTTAACAATCAAATGCTTCTTTATTTGGTGATCATTTCCTTAATTCTTGTAACCTTTATTCTTTTTTCTATCCTTTGTGACCTTAATTCAGGCTGATGATGTGAGGAGAAATTAGATGTTAGTCACCCTAAAGGGTCAAAAAATTAAATTAACCCTTTCACTCCCAAGATCCAATTAGTAATTCTCCTTACTGTCTGCCATACAATTCTTATGATGTTAGCTCAGAGAATTTGGTATTGGATCAACTAATAATCCCATAATTGATATTCTTCTCTATTCTCATCACCTACCTGCTTGATATTGTATTGATATTGTAAGGAGAAATTTTGTCTTGGTCACTTGTGGGAGTGAAAGGGTTAAGTGGTGGAAAAGGTCATCAAATTGGTTTCATCTCCGGAATTAACCAACATACAGTGTATCATATTAAATTATAACTTACCATGTTTTAACATCTTTCCAGGAGTACATTCAGGAATTAAAAGTAAATTGAATGAAAGAAAAATGTTAGAATTTCAACAATTGTAAATGAACATTAAAATCATAAAATTCTTGAAACATTTCCAGAACATGACTTGGTGTAATTCTAAAACAACCCACAAGGCAAGTGGAGATACAAGTATGCGACATGGATATATGGTGAAACAATTTGTTGCCAGTTGTGAGTTTCATGTGAAAAAATATTATCATACCTTAAGAAGAGCTAGTGAAGAGATATAAACTTGTTCTGCAGTGTCAACAACTGGTGCATCACTTGGAGGAGCCTAAGGTGAAAATGAACATGTGATCACATCAGATATCTCCACAGAACACGTACACATGAAACAAAGATAGAGGTACTCTGACATGTCTTAAAATATGATTAAGTGTGGGAATCAAGATTATTCACTTACACTTCATTTTGGTTGAGTTAGATCGATTTGCAAATTAGTTTTAAACAACACGCCCTCGTTCCTCTAGCTCTGCTGGTTCCTTCAATTAAATGTTGCTCGTTGTTTAATTAGAGTAAGTAGAATCTTTTGTCAAATAACGCTAATTAACTTTGAATTGTTGCCCCGAAACTGACTTGTAAGATTGTAAACGGTTTAAACACGAGTATAACATTGAAAGATGCATGGTGAACGTCCGGATGAAGAGAGTTGTGTGAAAAACAGTTGTTAGTGTCAGGGATCGGCGTTTTCACCGCATTTCTACAACCTGAGCGGAAATATCTTCAGAGTGAAGACTCCCAAGGTTACATTCGTCATTTTAAGTACAATTAAGCTAAGAATACGATCCTTAATTATTTCATAATAGCATACTTTATACAAAAAGCGTATTTTCACTGGATACAACTGAGGGAAGTGGGTCAAATCAAACTTTGTTAAAAATTATTGTTTCAACGTGTTGAAGGAGAATTTGTGAAGGTTTTTAAACATCGTTATGTCTCGTTATAAAGCGTACGTATCAATAAATAAACAAACCTGCCCGACCCCAGGAATACCACCAGATCCTAACCGTAATATTCTGTCCATCTTAAGGAAAGAAAAAAATTTAGTTCCTTCAATGTGAAATGACAATGCAGTTTTCAATATGGCGACTTCACAATTTGTGTGGTGTAACAATCATATAGTGATTTAGTTTGGTTATAACCGCTGATATACCGCTGGCTCTAAAACTGACCAATCGGTGCTGAAGCTGGGTTATATCTGATAACCTTTAGGTACATTGCTCTCACCCGAAAAGAATAGAAAACAATACTACAACGAAAATAAATAAACAAAAAGAGCAAAAAAGCAAAAAAAAAAACAGAAGAAGAAACAAAAGTCATCTTGACCTCATACCCCTTCTGGTCAAAACCTTTTAAAATAATTGAAAATTGACAGTAAAGACGTGGTGCATGCTTACATATGAAAATGAAACCAGCCAGCTTAAAAGCTTGCACGGATAGTTTTCATATCATCAGAAGCACACAAAGCATCAGGGCACTTTCGCTTTAGAGTTCTTTAGACTAGTATGAAAGTATCATCAAATATGGGCACGAATACTATATCTAGGCCTTTCCTATGGGAGTTGTTATTGTTCACCATTCTTGGAGGCTTTCCGTTTTCTGCTCAAGGTGAGATTAGGATAAAAACTTTCATCGTGTTTAACTGGGCGTACTTTTAGTTTTTGCATGGTGACACTATGATTAAGAGTGAGGTTGAATTTGCCAAAACCGTCAAACTTAGCAAAAATCGAGGCCCACGAATTTGTCCACCGATTCTACCTTCAGTCTCATCCTAAGAAGGGGCCCATTATTGGGGTGAGGTATCGAAGGCAGTGGTTGAAAACTTGCCTGGGCAACGACCTGGATTTTCGCACTAACAACGCGGTTTAACAAGCACTAATTTCCTTTGATAAGACCTGTATTGTTTGCAATTCGTTAGAAATATTTGTTGTTCGAGAATTTTTTTATTTCCACGAATATAAATGATGCTTTGGAGGATTTCCAAAAATCAGGGGATACGCCCCCTCATGAGGTAAATTCCATCAAGATAAATCGTAAAACAGAAGCCATTAAAATACTCTTTGTGTCTTTGGAGTTCCTAAGAAATACATTCGATAATTTAAGCAAAGAAAATACATCCTTTTTCAAATGCCCATAGATATAATTCAGAATTCGATCCTTGTTTCTGATACGTACTGCCTTAAACAGTCCTTGATATTGCGTCTGTTAAGCTGCATAGAGGCCCAATAAAATTAGATTGTCTCTGAAGTGGAAAGTCAAAATACCCGAGAGCGATTGATGGATATGAAATTCATTAATTCCTTCCTTTTGTTGTTAGAAACATATTTCGAATAACCTTCTTCAATAGCTTCTCTATGTGCGTTTTAAATCGGTTTGACCAAAGAAGAGGAAAATGCTTTCAGGTGTAAGAGTCGTTTTATCGCATAAATTGAAGGCTGCGGTTTTTTCATCAAAACAATCAGCCGATGGGTGCCATGAATAAATTTCAAAAATCGAGTTCTCGGCTCTCGTAAGAAGTCTTTCTTGACAGTTGGGTACGCGCCCCTTTTGGGATCGAATCATCATCGAAATGAATGGCATGACAATTAATTGCAACTGTTCAAGGTGAAATGCAATTCTACTCTGTAATTTAAACGTTATCCACAGCTTGACACGAGACGATGAACCAATTTTGATTCAGGTTAGGTATATTCGTTTTCCTTCTTTGAGCAGTCCGTTTCTCGAATCCAGTCTTTGACACATAATCGGGAAATCACTTCCGGGTGAAACGAATCACATCAAAGCAAAATGGGAAACAATTTCGATACAGCAGAAATGTGCTTCGAATTCTTTGGGAATGTCACTGCTCTACAGATTGTTTATGTAGGAAAGTTGAATGCCCTCTCAGTTGAGTAATCTGAAAGAGTGGATCGATTGAACACTGATAAACAAAGTCATTCATTTGTATACAAATCAATCATTGTGTGGCATTGGAACAGGCTGGATTTATCAATAAACGCAACATTCAGATAGGTGTACTGTATCTACACATCCATCAATAGCCTGCAGGACCGGCGTGATTTTTTTGCGTTTTCGGTCGAACGGAGGCAAGCGCGAGGTGAGCTTGAAGTGCGAGTCACGCGCGAGGGGAGGAACGGGACTCTTTTGACATAACTGTGTTAGGACCAACAAACTTAGCGCAATTCTAAGTGAGGATGGCCACTTATGCCTTATGGGATTAGGTAAAACCCCGAGAAAAAAATTTGAAAAGCCCCCTGTGAAATGTATGGTAGGGCAAGTCCATTTAATGTTATAGTCAGGAAAGGAGAAGAAAACGAACATTATGGCGTGAAATAAGGTTAGCAGCCTAAGCCTCAAGAGTCCATACCTGACCCTTCCCTTCCTCCAAACACTCAATCTTCCCCGTCACTATCGTCTCCCCCACCACAGTCAGTATCTGAACAGAGTAATCTCTTTCATTAATCAGGAATTCCCTTCCAAGCTGGAAATCTGAACATATCAAAGACCTTACAGGACTGGAGCTGTAGCAGTGGGTGTACGCCTTCTTTTCACTGTCGGTTGCCGCGCTGTACGAACGTTGTGTTCCCTACTGCTTTTAGTGGATCAGGGAGGGTAAGTGTGAAACAAGCATGCGGGGGACAGGGGGGGAGGGTTTGAGGATCGATCAGCGTAATAGGCGGGTGGAAAGAGTAGTTGTAGAATGTGGCATAGACTAAGAGGAGACCGTAGAGTGAAAGCTAAGGGAGCTTGAAGGAGAGCATATTCACAAGGTGTACCACAACCTTGGGTCATAATCTTACAACTTTTGTTATCGGTGAGTTTTTTTCTTAATTTGTGCGAGATTGAAAACTGGCATGATTCTCTCGTGGACTTAGTTAACAGCGTTTAAAAAACTGAGAAAAGAGTAGGTAATAATGTACTTATCACAATGTCTTCAATGTAGGTCCAAGTTTACGTGACGGTTAGCCATGATGAGAAGTTTTCGCGTGTCCATTCACCCTCAGCTGTGTGGGTTCAGTCCGTCACTACACGTGGCTTTGAGGTGTGTGCACGTGAGTCAGGCATTGGATCAAATGGAACAGGAATTATCAACTGGTTGGCTTTCCAAGGTCATCCACAAATGACGCGTGGTAGCGTTACTTTTAGCGGAATATGGACAACGGAAACAAAATGCGACAAGATAAATTTATCTCAGGTTAGATGAAAAAAAAAGGCTAAGAAGTACACTGCGTGTTTTTTTTTCGTTCTGTGTCACGCTCTTGGTAGGTGTTTCACTGATGTGGTCCTGCAAAAACTTAAGTAAAAAATGACACTTGGTGGCAGATTTGATTTTTTTTTACTTAAGACTTCAATTAGGTCAATTCGCAACTAATACGAGTTGCGAAACGTTTCCTTTTGTTCCTTTTGAAGGCTGTTTTCATACGATTATTATCTACCAAACTTACCAGGACAAGGTCAATCAGTGTGGTGAATCAGGGTTATCAGTCTTGCTAACACAAAGCTGACTTGACATTACTCGACGTATTTGTTTTCATAGATCAAGATATGTTTATGTAGCAAAGTACGAAAAAATTGTTCCAGATAGGTAAACAATTGTCCCTGTTAAGTAAAACAGGGCTAAATATCCGCGCATTGAAAATACCGCTCAGAATAACGGGGTTTATTGTATCGAAAATAAAAACCAGTTTTCACGGTAAATATTTGAAGTATTATGATATTGACGCATTCTAGGGATTTGTTGGAACACCTCACGTCTTTGTGTCAGCAAAGTATACACGAGACACAAAGCCAGATGATGCCATGTACATTTGGTTAGAAAATGTCAGTTCTAAAAGTTTCGAGGTTTGCATACGTGAATTCTTACCGTTTGACGGGAAACATCAAGACACAGTTGTGGTAAGTTAACTTAATTTACATCGTTATTTGTATCGTGTCTCTTGCAACACATAACTCGAAACTCGAACCTCCAAACCCAAAACTCAAACCGTGAAACTTTTAACTCAATACTCGAAGCTCGAAGTATGCGCAACGCACATGATTGAAACTTCCGACACATTGTGTCTCACACTCGCAAATTTTACATGCAGGACTGGTTTGCGTTCACTGGTAATGGTTCTGAGTTCAACTTTTCGAGAGCAGGTGAAGTGAATTTCCCAAATAGTGGCATCCCTAAAGCTGAAAATAACTATGGTTTCTGCCAGGTGAGTGTTGCGATTTCTGTTCCAATTTTTTAAATTTTTATTTTAATTTAATCTTTGTCATCGTAAACTCGAGTTACTTGTCTATTTTCACATGAAGCTGCTCTTTTCGCCCTTTGAAGAACGAAAATAGTGGCGAAGCTTTTACGCGCGAGGCACGTTAGCGGAGCCTCATAGCTAAGAAAATAAGGTAACTTACTAAGCAGGAAAAAATTGGGTCGTCACAAGATTGCTACAGTCCATCCGCGAAATTATTCGTTTTATGTGCGCGCGCGCGTGTGTAATTAGCAACTCAAATTAGCATTGAGGCTTGGCAAAATCTGTATAGAAGAAAAGGGCTGGAAGTTTTTAAAGTTAAAAATATTACCTTGTCCTATCTTTTGCCGAAAGTCTCATCTCTTTCATTCTGGGATACCCTTCAAGGTAATGCTACATTACTGATCCTTTTTCCTCCGCAGAAAGCGCACTTCAACACCACCTTTTATGCATCACCAATTGTTCTTATTTCTGTCCATCACTTCTACAACCCTCAAGTCAGTGTGAAGAGTTCCAGTTCCCCAGAAAATAACATTGTTACAGCATGGGTCGAGGTAGGCTTCTTATTTGTTTCAGATTTTTGGAGCTGAACCGGTAATAAAATGCGGTACACATTTTTTTTACCTCACTAGAAAATTAGGATCGCATAGGTTTGTAGATGATTTTATCTTTCCTGTCACTTGATTTTTATTGGGCTGATTGAAGGCTCTTCAGTTTCCTGCTTATGATGTGAGATATCACATAACCTCTAACTTGATAACAAGACGCCTGTAAAAAGTGTACAAAAATCAAATTATGTTACATGACACTTATTTACAAGATTTTTCCCTTAACAGGAAATCGGTCTAACATCTATGACGATTTGTGTTAAAGACTTAAGCGGAACTGGAAGTAAACATGATCCACTTTCCGTGAGCTATGTCGTTATTGGAGGTTGGTAGTTATGTGACAATTATGATCTACACTCAGTCTATATTCCATCTTACTCTAAAACAAGCTGAAATAAGTTTTGGACTTAAAAGAGATTTTGCCCCAGCTTCCTCCCGTATAAGAGACATGAATGCTCAACCTAGACTTCTCCTTCTCATATTCCACTTTGCACTCCCCACTCCGATATTTTTAATGTGAAAAATGTAGAACTTCGCTGTTTGCTGGACACTATGTTCAATCGAATAAACTTCTAACTACTTTCTAAATATATATCAGACATAGATCCATGCCTTGGCGTTTACTGCCCATCTTTTGGAGTTTGCAAAACTTACAGCGCCCATGAAGCTCGCTGTGTGTGTAATGATAGTTGTCCGTCTTATCAAGATCCGGTGTGTAGCGCAAACGGAACAACGTACAACAATGAATGTCGGTATAAGTTGAGCTACTGCAGGGGACTGGACAATAATACGATGTACCATCCAGGAAGCTGTGAGGGTATGTGCCTTGTTACTTTATATTTCATTCATCACTTTGTTCGTTCGTTCTTTGGTTCATTTGGTCAGACGGTCATTACAACATTCCGTTCTTATTTCTTTCCTTCCTTCCCTCTTTCATTCACTCCCTAACTCATTTATTCATTCCTACTCTCTTCTACCATGGCGAAAAGACAATATTTACGAGGAATAACGCAATCCTTTTTTGATGCTCATTACCAGGTTTTCCATTCCTGCGCGGCCGTGTTGAACTCCTTCACGTTCCAAAATGGTCTGAGTCAGGCTGTAAGACAGTCATTTTCCCGCCATACCGATTTTACCCAAACAAAGACGTCCACGTTCAACTTACCGTGAACCACATCAACCTAAATGACTCCGTGACAGTACATCACGCAATCACTTTATGGACAGAAAACGTCAACACTCAAAATTTCACAGTCTGCGCCATGCAAGCCGGAAGGAATGGAAACAGCTTTAACCCATTTGCGACTGTGGACTGGATGGCCTACCAAGGAGCACCGATAAATGCGGTGGGTGGAAAAATTAAGGTTCAAAAATGGTGGTCTGGGACCAAATGCGAAGATGTGACCTTTCCAAAGGTAAGATAGAGTCCGTAGGTTCCAAAACACTGACATTTCTCTGAATCACGATGTTGTTTACTGGTCATCGTCCTTAGCGTTTTTTAATTGGTTAAGAGCCTCAGACATACTGTCAAGCGAACTGACGACGGGATGTCATTAGAACAGACCTCTTGGAATTTACTTTCGAAGGCAACGTTTATTTTAGATAGAAACGCGAGAATGTTACCTTTAGGGATCCCTTCCCTAAAAATACTTCTATCTATCGAAGGTTGCCATCCCTGAGAAGAATCAAAGGCGTACGTAATTATAAAAAAGAATCATATTCTGATTCTTTCGTGGTAGGACATGTTTAAGGAAGATCCAGTAACTCTTGTGACGGCTGAACACGTAAGGACTGGAAAAAAGTACGATGCTGCTTTAATATGGACAGAGGATACAACCAAAACCTCATTTAAAGTTTGCCTCCGTGAAATGCAAAACTTTGATGGAAAACACGAAGACA